CACCGTCTACTAGCATCAGCATTTTATCTTTCAAATAAAATGTAGATATCTTACTACTACCGAAGTTGCTTTATCCTCTTTCCTTTATCTGGAAGTCATCTTTAATATTAATCTCTATATACATTGAGAATGCTGCAATTTTTGCTTCTGTCAAAAATAATTTTTAAAATTCAAGAAAAGAATAGTTTACTACATTTATTCTTTGTGTTGCCCTTTCTTCATTCCTGTTGTTCTGAGTTTCCTTTTGTTAATCTTTCCTTCTGTCTGAATAACTTCCTCTAGCCATTCTTTTACAACAGGTCTGCTGGCAAGAAATTACCTTAGCTTCCTTTCCTCTGAGTTATCTTTATTCTATCTTCAATCCTGAAAAACATTTTTTCTGGTTATAGAATTTTTGATTGACAGGTCTTTTCTTTTAGTACTCGAAAATACTGTGACACTTCCTTCTGGCCTCTGGTTTCTGAAGAGAAAGCCTTTGTCTTTTGAATTTTTGTTCTGCTATATTTCTCTCTGATGCCTTGAAGATTTTTTTTTTGAATTTTATTTTTTTATACAGCAGTTTCTTATTAGTCATCAATTTTATACACATCAGTGTATACATGTCAGTCCCAATCGTCCAATTCAGCACACCACCATCCCCTCCCCACCGTGGCTTTCCTCCCTTGGTGTCCATACCTTTGTTCTCTACATCTGTGTCTCAACTTCTGCCCTGCACCTTGAAGATTTTTCTTTCTCATTTTCCGAAGTATGATTATGATTTGTCTGGGTGTGTATTTCTTTAGGTTTTTAATTGTTTTCTTGAATTAATAGGTTTTTGTCTTTTGACTAGTTCGTAAAGGTGTCAGTCATTTCTTCAAATATTTTTTCAGCCCTGCATTCTTTTTACCTCTTTTTCTGAGACTGTGGTAAAATCAATGTTAGATCTTTTCTTCTTGTCTTGCAGGTTCCTGAGCCCCAGCTCATTTTTTAAAAAGCTATTTTCTATTTTATAAGATTGGAAGGTTATTATTGAATTATTTTCTAGTCCTCTGACTTTTTATTATGTCATTTCCATTTGATTTTTGTATATTAATCTTGTATCTGGAAGCCTTGCTAAACTCATGTACTAGTTCTAGTAACTTTTTGTAGATTCTATTGGATTTTCTATATAGATGATTATATGATCTTTGAGTAACTATGGTTTTATTTTTTCCTTTTCAATCTGGAAGTCTTTTATTTTTCTTGCCTTATTGCACTGGCTAGAACATCCAGTATAATGCTGAATAGAAATGGTAAGAGCAGACTTCTTTATCTTTTGTTCCCTGTTTTAGGAGGAAAACATTTCAGTGTTTCACCATTAAATATGATATCAGCAGTGGGTTTTTCTTTAGATGCCATTTATCCTGTTGAGGAAGTTTCCTTCTGTTCCTACTTTACTGAGGGTTTTAATTAGGAATGGATACTAGGTTTTTGTCAAATGTATTTTCTGTGGCTTGTTGTCATAACCACGTGTCTTTCCTTCTTTAGTTTTTTAATATGATGAATTACATTTCTTGACTTTTGAATATTAAGTGAAGCTTGCAATCCTGGGATAGACCCCACCTAGTCATGAGGTATTATCCTTTTTTGTATTGCTGAATTCAATTTGCTCATCTTTTGTAAAGAGTTTTACATCTGTATTCATGATGGGATATTGGACTGTAGTTTTCTTTTCTTGTAATGTCTTAACCAGGTTTTGGTATCAGGGTAATGCTGGCTTCAGAGCAGTTTTCTGAAAGAGTTCATATGGAATTGATATTATTTCTTTCTTAAATGTTTGGCCACATTCACCAGTGAGGCTCTCTGGGTCTGGAATTTTTTTGTGAGAAAGCTTTTAACTACAGATTCAATTTTCTTAATAGATATAGGGCTCTGCTGGTTATATGTCCTTTTGAGTTAGGTTTGGTTATTTGTGTTTTTCAAGGAATTTGTCCACTTCATCTTCGTTGTCAAATTTATTGACCTACATTTAAAGATCACTTAAATACATTACTATTATATAAAAATGTGTATCATTTCTGATCTTTGTGACCTCCCTTTTTTACTGGCAAGGTGGTTTATCAGTTTTAATAATGTTTTCAAAGAACCAGTTTTGGTTTATTGCTTTTCTTTATCATTTTGCTTGTTTATTTTGGTTTCTATTTCATTGATTTATGCTTAGGTTTTATTATTTCTTTCCTTTGCTTTGTGTTTCTTTATTCTTTTTCAGATTTCTCAAGGTGGAAGATTAAGTCATTGATTTAAGACCATCCATTTTTTCCAATGTAAACTTTTAGTGCTATAAATTTTTCTATCAGTACTGTTTTAGCTGCATCACACAAATTTTGATATGTTATATTTTCTTTCATTTCAAAATACTTTCTAATTTCCCTTTTCATTTCTTCCTAGACCCATGGGTTATTTTAAAGTGTGTTATTTAGTGTCCAAATGTTTGAAGATTATCAAGAGATCCTTTTGTTACTGATTTCTACTTTAAATACACTGGTGTCAGGGAACATACTTTGTATGATTTGAATTCTTTTACACTTATTAAGATTTGTTTCCTAGCCCAGACTATAGTTTATCTTGGTAAATATTCAGCTGTTATTGAGTGGAGTATTCTATAAACGTTAGGTCAAGTTAGTTGATGATGTTGTTCAAGTACTCTACAGTTTTAACATGTAAATTTAAATGTATGTTTTCTATTATGCCTTATATATTTACACTTGTACATCATGGATTCATTTTATTTGATCAGAATAATTCTCTATTCTTGTGGCAGATTTTATTTTACAAAGAAGGTTACAACAGTATCTTCCCTCCCTCAGGCTCTGTGTGATGTGGCCCTCCCTCCACTGGAGTGTAGGCTGAGCCCAGTGACTTGAAATCAACATATAAGGTAGCAGGAACAAGGCTGCACAGCTTCCACAACAGAAAAGGCCACCTACCCACTGTACCCTGTGTAGGTGATTTGGCCTTTCCAGTCCACACATCAGATAAATATGTGAAGAAAGAAGTCTTCTTGGCAGTAAATCCTCCAGCCCCAGCTTTTGTGGCTATTGAAGTCAGGGCCTGTGGCTGGAGTCTTCCCAGATGAGCCCCAGACACAGAAGCAGAGAAGAGTCACTTCCGCTCTACCTGCCTGAACTCCTGCCCATGGGCTCCCTGTGCATACAGAAGGATTCTTGTTTTCCATCACCACATTGGACTAGTGGCTTGGTTTGTCACACTATGATAAAGATCATTTCTTTTTCGGTGGGGTTGAAAGAGAGAAACTTTTCAGTTCTTACATATCTGAAAATATCTTTAATTTCACTCTTAATTGGCTCTGGAATTCTTGGATATAAAGTAATTCTTTCTGAGAACTTTGATGTTATTTCGTCATTATCTTCTTGCATCCACATCTTGCCTGTGAAACACGATGTAAATCTGGTCCTGTTCCTCTGTGTGGTGATTTTTTTTTTCCCTTTAGAAGCTTTTAGGATTTTTGAGCTTCAGATATTTCATCAAAGTGCATTTAGGTGACCTATGATTTGTTTCTTTCTGAGGACTCATGTCTTTTTATTTGCTTCAGTATATTTATTTGAAAATCTTACTTTCTTTATTCTTTTCATCCTCTTAGGAGTTGTTTACTTCTTGATTAATTACAGTTGGGTTCTCCTTTTCACTGTGTTGTCCTTCAACAAATTTAGGTGATTCTTGGCTGTTTGCTTGTTGCTGATTTTGTTTGCTTTTTGAGATGCCCTCTTACCCTCTCTACAAATACTGTATCACTTCATAGCTGCATCCCGAGGATGTTGGGAACTAGGAAAAGTTTAGGGGTTCCTGGTCTTAAGTGTCACTAGATAGATACTGAGAGACTTTCTGATCTTATAGAGATAAGTGCCTGTATTTACTTATTTTATCTGTGGTCTGAAGGCAGCAGAAGAGTGACCTCCTTTGGCTCCTGCTGTGGTATTTCGACCACTAATGCTTTGGTTTCCTCTAGGGATGTCTCCTCCCCATTTCTCCTGCTTCAGAGCGTGGAGCATGCTTCCTACTTTTTTTTTTTTTTCTTTTATGCGTTACGCGGGCCTCTCACTGCTGTGGCCTCTCCCGTTGTGGAGCACAGGCTCCGGACGCGCAGGCTCAGCAGCCATGGCTCATGGGCCCAGCCACTCCGTGGCATGTGGGATCTTCCCGGATTGGGGCACGAACCCGTGTTCCCTGCATCGGCAGGCGGACTCTCAACCATTGCGCCACCAGGGAAGCCCACTTCCTACTTTCGGTATCAGTTTTTTCCTGGGAAAAAACTCTGGGGATAAGATTGCCTCCTTTAATCTGATCTCATCTGCCTTTTGCCTTTCAGAATTCCTGATCATTTGGAGGATACTTACCCCTTTGGATTTCAGGGTTCTCTAGGAATTTGAGGAGCAGGTGGGAGTTTGGAGCAGGTGCTCCGGCTGCTGTGTTAGTCTAACTGAGGTAGTTCTATTTAAAGTGCACAGAAACCTCCTGTAGTTTGTTTTTCTATGCACACGAGTTCCATTTTTTCTTCTTCTGCCAGCTCTTTCTTAAGCTACTCTTGTTACTGGGTAGAGAAACTACTCACGTCTCTTAATCTTGGATCTCTTCATCTATCGTTGGATCTCAGTACTGTATTGCTAAAAATCCTCTTTTTGTGGATTATATGAATTAAAAAATTATAACACTTTATGACTTTAATTTTGCCAAGACTACATGGAATGTGTTATCAAATAAAAGTGTTGCAACATAGTTTGCAGAATGTTTTAGAAAGATGTTGCCTACACCCTCACATTTTTTCTTTTGTATATAAAACAATATTTAGAATGATTTTCAGCGACTGAAGAGTCACAATTTTATGAGGTCATAGAAGAGTCACTTTTTAATATATTTGCCTAGGCTTTTATTTTAAGTAGACCAGAGTGCTCATTTTTCCCCTAAACTGGTGATTTACCTGAGACTTTACTATATTAAAGGAAGATCTTTTTTTTTTTTTTCAGAGCAGCATCTCAGACATGTCGAAAAAGATGTTTTGATCCCCAAAATAATGAGAGAAAAGGCCCGAGAGAGATGTTCTGAACAAGTTCAAGGTAAGATTCAAATATTCATATGAAGATCAAATATGTTTTTTATAACATGATCTGAATTTAATCCTTAGCCTTGGAATCAAGTAGTCAATGAATTAATATGTATGAATTGCTTCTTACCCTTTCACTCAGATACCAGTATTTCAGCTTTCAGAACTTCCAGGCAGTGTTCAATTCATTTACAATTTAAAAATATTCTCCCAGATTCCTAGTAAAAAGCATTTTTTCCCAGATGTACAGTTATATATAGAGAAAAACTTGTATTCATATTTTGGAGAAACAAGTTATTCTGGTGATTCTGATAGGGAAAGAAGAAACATCAAATGTAATGTGTGCCTGTTTTTCCTCTATCAAAATATTCATATAGGAATATAGTGATGATTTTCTTTGGCGTTGTTGTCTATTATTGAATTGTTAATGGAATCTCAGTAGTACTTACAAGTCTTTTTAAAAACTTTTCTATATTCTACATTTCTGAGCAGAAGATATCTATGTAAATGCATGCACTAGACACCCACATATGCATGTATTCTTTGAAAAATGTTTTAATATAAAATATGCCTGTATTCTATAAATCTAGAGATATGTTGATTAATATGTAATATTATAGTGAAAAATACAAAGGCGTAGAAGATGAAAAATGAGGCCATAAATGATGGGTAATTAGAAAAGCAGATAGCAGTATTATTGTAGAAATGTTTTTTTAATAAAAATCTTCCTCTTGGAATGTCCATGGCAAAGAAACAGTGGTAAAATTGTGCTGATGTGGACTGTTTTCCCAGCATCCCTTGTAGCCTTCGTTGAGGGACCACAGTAATGCTTAGTGAGGCTGATGGGCTGCAGTGCCCGGCAAGTTTCTCCGCGGGAAGCCAGGCTGTGTCAGCTGTAGTTTGGGGACTGTGTCAATAACATTTGGGTGCTAGGCACATTTCTGTCCCTTAGATGCTATCTCCTTAGAGAATGACCTCTGGGACTGATGGACAAAGGCAATAAAAGAATAGTTCCTCAGAATTGACATTGTGTGATGGTCATTTCTTTTTCTTAAATGATTTATCATGAGCTATTCCCATTTTAAATCCACCTATAAATCAGGTTTGAATTAAATCCATCTGTAAATAAATTTATTAACAAGTTATCAGTAATTTATTAGTATCATTTGATGGTCTTGCTTTCATTATGAATTAGTTGTATAATCAGAGCACCTTCCTTTCCCCCACCCCCAGATGTCAGGAGAAGTTACTCCGTTGGCACCTGCGGGTAGGGTTCAGTGCACACCTGGCGTCAGCGGGTGTCATGCTGATGGTCTCAAGAGGTAACCCTCCACCTGCCTCATAGGACTTTAAAAAAATATCCTGATTCAGGTGAGGGAGGATAAAACTTAAAAATGGATAATAAAATTATAGGGTTTTGTAACATGTTATTCTGATATCTAGAATGAAAGAAAGCTAGATAACTCAATTATAGACTTCTTACATGATTCAGGTGAAAATGTGAAATGGTCGAGTTTGGGTTTCAGAACTACCTTTGCTTTGCTCTTAGACAATGAAACTTTGGTCTTTGAAATGAAAGAAATAGAGTATAACTTTAAAATATTCGTGTTACACACCTATTACTTTGTAATGGTACAGAAAAGAAAATGTTTAGTTTTTGCTTCTTTATAAAAACTTAAGTTGTTTAGGATGTTGATCTTTTTTTCTTTTTTACCATACTTAAAATCTTCTGAAGACTGAAAGCATCTTAAAATTTGAGATCCATTTGAGTGATTTCAATGCATTTGTCCCTACTAGAACACGTTATAACAAATGATCTTTGAGTATTTGAATTTTTATAGATATCGTATATTGATTTTTTGTCAGGCCATATGGTCCAAAACAGTGTTTTAGAATCTAAAATTGATTGTTTTATAAAAGAATGATCTTCCTGTTTAACCATGTGAACTAGGAGAGAACATAAACTGGCATTGCTCAAGTGGGAGCAGAACAGCTACATTTAAACTGAACAATAAGATGGAATTTAGAATCAGAACACTTCCATTGTGGTTTATTTACTGTTTATAGCCTTTGTTTTATTAAATAATTACAGGATTTTACATAAAAGCATTATGCATCCTAATTGTACAGTTCTTGAGTAAAGATATAGGAATTCTAATAAGTGATCTGATTTTCTGTTAAATGCCTGAAACATGATTATGTAGGAAAGCTTTTCTGTTTGATTTTATTTTTTCATGTCATTTCAACCTGGCTGATCATAAGAATTGGGTCAGGCTGCCAGCAACTTAGGTTTGTGAAGGGAATGGAACAGCTTTTCCAGTGACAAAGAGAAATGAAATCACTTTCAATGAAAAAAAGGATGCCTCATTATAGTCACCAACAGCAGTTATTGACAGCTACACTTCCTATTAACAAGGAGCATTTAACTAAGAGTTTGGCTGTTGGATCTTTGGACTTGATCTAATTTGCTAGCATTAATTAGTTTCTTTTGAGCACAGACACTTGGTGCCCACAGCTATAGATTTGGAGGGCTAATTAGGATAGAAAATTGAACAGAATGGGGTAAGGCATTAACCTTCAACCATTACCAGCTGGGACACTGATAAAGACCACAGCATCCAAATGCTCCCTATTGATGTGAGAGTACCCTAATGAATATCAATTTCAGCCAGGTTGCTATATTCTTACTAGTTCTCTCTTCATTATAAGTTTTAACCAGCTTCCCTGATCCCTTCATTATCTATATGTACACTATTGGGTTTTTACTCTACACTGATTTAGTCTGCATTGCACATTTCACCTTATGTTTAAACACACTTAAAATTTGTCTTAAGTAGTGGATAATGTTTAGAATGTTTCATTGTTATAGCCCCTGATACTAATAAAATTTAACTTTTATCTATAATTACAAGATTCTAATTCTACAGTTAATTTTTATGAAGTCATGGTAACCTTGCCGTTTCCATATAATGAAAATTATAACCTGAAACAAGAAAGTCTCAGCTTTTGGGTGACAGTTAAGCAGTGTTGTAGTAAACTGGTGTCAACTTGAGAATCTTTGTCTTTATAAAATAGATTTTTTTTGTTTCCTTTTGAAGAGAAAAAGAATGCTCATCACTTTTTCCTTTATAACTTAGTTTTGATTTGATGAGTAAAGATGGCTTGACTTGGGGATTAGATACAGAATTGAGAATCTGGATCTCACTACTACATAAACTTTCACAAGATTATAAACTCTGTTGGTAAAGCATACATCAAAAGAAAGGCAGTTGAACAATGGATTTAAATAGAAAACTTCATAATGTTCTTCTTTTGCCAGTGGTATTAGTGGCAGTGAGTAGAGCCACTAAAATAAACGACCAAAGTAACACAGTGAATGCTGAATACACTGGGAATGGTACAGAAGAAACATTCTAGAATGGCCAGTCTCTGCCTTTCTCCCCTCAGTCTCCCCACCTCCCAAAAGCCAAAACAGAAGTCCCCTTCCATCAAGTGTGATGGTGGAATCATGGCTTTTTCTTGAATCGGGGACTTACTAATGTGTAGTGTTTTAGGAGGATGGTTTGATGACCTCTGGAGGCTACTTCCCGCTCTGTGACTTTTCCCATGTGTTTGACTCTTCACTAATTTAATGATTTATATTTTCTATCTTAGTAATATTTTTAAAAATATTGTTTGTTCATACATAATGGTAAAGTATGCATTCTAGTGCTATAATTTTTTTTTTCTGGAAATAGAGCCTTCATAAGAAAAAGAGTCACCGAATTGCTGTGTTTTGTAAAAATTCATTGTATTTCTTTGCTTTTTTGAAATGCATAATTGGCATTTGATATAACATCTCTATGCTGAGTAAAGAAGTTTGCCTTAAAAATAGTAAGAACCTTTTTTTCTTTTTGTTATGACAGATCAAGACCAGAAAAGTACTTTGACATCAGGGGTGGCCTGGAACTTTCTTTAACCTGGATATATTCTCCAACTCACTCCTTTCATCCCTTGGGCCTTCTTTTATCATATTTCAGTGCTTCTTTTGTATCAGTGTTTTCTGTGGCAGTCTTTTTGATCTACTGGCCAATAGGTAGGATTGGTTCTAAAGGAATTGTATAAAGTATAAGGAAGCATGGATTGTTTATTTGACACATCACAGAACTGTCATTAAATAACACAGAAGCTTGATAAAATGCCTGCCGTCTTTATCAGTCACACACAACTGAAATATGTTATATTTTGCTAAATTCCAAAGATGGATGAATTAACAAAAAAAGAAATTCAAATTAAGAATGCTTAGGATATTTTTTTTTTTTTTTTTTTTTTTGCGGTTCGCAGGCCTCTCACTGTTGTGGCCTCTCCCGTTGCGGAGCACAGGCTTCGGACACGCAGGCTCAGCGGCCATGGCTCACGGGCCCAGCCACTCCGTGGCATATGGGATCTTCCCGGACCGGGGCACGAACCTGTGTCCCCTGCATCGGCAGGTGGACTCTCAACCACTGCGCCACCGGGGAAGCCCCAGGATCTTCTTTAGGATATTTGCAGGCAGAGAACTATCAAGACATCATTAAAACAAACTGGAGGGCTGCAGACTGTAAATGGTCAAAGTAATCAATCTTCTATCCAACTCTGTTACTTGAACCTGCCAAAGCTTTTCCTTTGTTGTTTGAATTGTACTTGTATTATCACATGTATTTTTGCCATTTAACCGGTTCAGCAATGTTAAGTTACACTGATGTAGAGATTCAACACATCTTTAGACTGGTTTGGATATGTTAGGAGGATAATATATAAAATCACAAAATATGAGTATCTTTTATGTATAAGAGTATGTTATATATTCTAAGAAATATAAAGAGATTTAAAGCACAAGTCCTCTTCTTTGGACCTACACGGGTCTGTGTCAGGGTCCGCAAGACCACCCCTGAGTTTGGTGATTTCCTACAAAGACTCATAGTACTAAGCATATAGTCATACTGATGGCTAAGATTTATTAGAGCAAAACCAGCAAAGGGAAGAAGCACATGG